TCTACATGAAATGATTAAATAAAATAAATAAAATTACAAAAAGACCATGTTTGACATAAACAAGATAAAATCTCATGGTTGAGGAAATATGGAAACTTTTTACCGAAAGTGAGAAAAAACCTGAATACACAAAGAAGAAACAAAAACTGACAAGGGAACACCGAACAACATGATGAATGATAGAGAGCCATGTGCAATTCACAAGGGTACCCTTTAAACCTTCGTTAAATCAACGATGAGGGAGATATTGTCGTTTCTCTAGCATAAAAGTAATTCCACAAATCTTTTAAAAGAGAAAGCTCAATTGAAAATAATCAATTTTTGAATAGAAATCATGGATATCTCATTCATTCAGACTAAGCTTTTAAGGTTGCCGACTATCGTCAGGTATTAGAGGATCACTTTAAAATTACAGATCTACAACTCCTATGTGATGAAAATTAAATAAGAAACAGGGGGGGGGGGTGCGAAATTAATTTTACTAACCTTACCCAGAATGAAAGAAAAAATATCCGAAGATTGGCGATAAAAAGGGGGGGGGAAATAATTACTAAAAGTTTATGCAAAAGCAGCGAAAGAGTAAAGTTTAAACTAAAGATGAGAGAAAGTTAACGAGAGTAAAATTAAACCACTGCACAAGACTTAATTGATGCGAAAGTACGGAAGGACTCACTCCACTAGACAGAAGTAAAATGTCAAATTTTTGCAACATTACGCACAATTACGATATATATAAGAAACATTTTGTGCTTTGTAATAGCCCCTAAAAAATAGGAATTATGTTTTCAACCTAACGTAGAAATTGCTTTAAAGGGACTGTAAGCGTAATTTCAAGTGACCCGGCCCCTCTATTCAAAGATAGCAATGCCCGATTTACAACGGTACCCTTGAAACCTTGATTTGATCAAAAATGTGGAAGATACAATCGTTTTTCTTACTCTGAGATACAAAGCGAAAACGCGAAGGAAAATAAACAGTTTAAAGAAACACAAACAAGGATATCTAATTCATACTTGATCAAGATTTCAAGGGTACCGTTGAAAATTGGACAATGGCATCTATCCAGGGAAGGTCACGTTAAATTACGCTTACAGTCCCTTTAAATTAAAGTGAGGGGTGAGAACACAGAGTTTAGAAAACTAAACGGGGAAATTCAGATTGTTAAACAGATTTTATAAGGGTAGTTAAATGACGACAGCGATCGATTGAATTATATTCTTCTAACGTAACCCAGTTTAATTTCATTTTTAGAAAAAGTGAAAACGATCGTGGGAAAACGGGAAGATAGATATTTAGATAGATAGATAGACAAGAAACATAAATATGCATACACACACAGAATTAGACAAAGCCATCGACACTAGACAAAGTAGACAGACAGACAGATATTTTACTAGACGGGGTGAAAAGGTATAATTGTAAGAGCAACGGTTAACAGCTAAAATTGTTATTAGAAAAGGGGCGCGAATCGACCTGAGCCCACGATTTTAAAACTTCGGCTCGAGTCGTAATTCCTTAAACCCGATTTTAAGACCCGATCTTCAATCCAACTCTAACGACAGCTTGTGTCACGTGATTGACAGCTGCAAGATCTTAGGCTCGACTAAGGAGTTAGGCCCCATGAAAAACAAACCGACCTTGGTTTTTTCTTGGTAAAAAAAATTTTCTTTGCCACAAACTCAAATTTGCTAACCCCTTTATCTTTGCAATGTGTAATCCTTTGATATTTCAAACTTNAAAAAGAATTGATTCTTTGCCACAAACTCAAATTTGCTAACCCCTTTATCTTTGCAATGTGTAATCCTTTGATATTTCAAACTTAGATTATTTGATCTAACAGAATTTATTTATATTTGGTGGCAAACATATAAAGATTGAAAAAATACGAATTTGTGTTTAAGACTTATATCTATGTGGAATTAAACTTTAAATCCTTTGATTTAAAAGTCGTTGAGACTCAGATAGGGTTTCCAACGCAAGTGGATTTTACTTGCGCGCAATTGCGAGCCCTGTAAACTCCAAGAAATTCCGCACAATTTCACGCAATTCTGCGCAATTCCGCGCTACGGAATTCCGATTGGAAACCCTAGACTCAGCGCTATTCTATATATTAGTTTTGCTCTCAGATATGTGTATATAAATATGTTGGTTTGAATCTATGGTTTTCATGCAAGGATGCCCAGCAAACCAAATAACGTTATAAACCAGTGCACTACGTACTAGCAGTAGATTTAAGAACTATTTTAAAGAAATCTTTCTTATAGATTGATTAAAAATAAATCCAGAATATTAACTTGGGATTTTAAATGCTGTATCTGTGTATAACTATTTTTTACCTCACTACTTCATTAAAATTCCTTACTTTTCTAGAATTGCCCGGCTGGTTTTATTTTAAAATGAAAAATAAAGATTTCTCAATCAATTATTGCTCATTTAGGTTTAAAGGGTAATAGACAAGTTTTGATGTAACTTTCTGGGTGGGATACATACAATACATTAGACTTTAGACCCTGGACTTACAGTTTTCTTTGATTTTCGTAAAGTTAATGGTTGTCAAATCAAATAGAAAGAATCAAATGTATCAGCGGATCGTGGTTGTGAATCATTTTCAGGACACTAAAAGTTACATTGAAATTATTTTGACACGCTCTTTAAAAATTAAAAATTTTGACACGCTCTTTAAAAATTAAGAAATTTTTACACGCTTTTCAAAAATTAACAAATTTTGACACGATCTTTAAATATCAACAAATTTTGACACACTCTTAAAAATTAACAAATGCTGACACACTCTTTAAAAATTAACAAATTTTGACACGCTCTTTAAAAATCAACAAGCTTTGACTTGCTCTTTAAAAATTAACAAACTTGTAAATACTGTTTAAAATATTCCCCCTCTTGTCACTCCGTCATGCTATTTCATCTTTTTTTTTAACAAAAAATTTTTTTTGAACCGAGAAATTTAGATAAATTTTTTTTAAGCCTTTATGTATGTTTTTAGAAAAAAACAATATTTTTTTTGCTATTGATAAAAATCATTTGTAGCAATATCTGGATGTTTGAAATATTACATCATATTAAACCAAAAAGAATTGATTCTTTGAGATAGATAGATAGATAGATAGATNTCCATTGTACGCTCTTACGCAAAAACAATTCCAATTACTCCTTTTTACCTGAAGCTGGTAACATACGTGACACTGGTTACAATTCTAGAGATACGAGAAATAAGGGAAATAAGGGAAATAACGAAAATAAGGGAAATATGGGAAACAAGGGAAATAAGGTTAACAAGGGAACCAATAGAAATAAGGGAAATAAGGGAACTAATGGAAATAAGGGAAATAAGGGAAATATGGGAAATAACGAAAATAAGGGAAATAAGGGAAAGTTATGAGATTGCTATAAAAGTTATGAGATTGTTATAAAAGTTATGAGATTGCTATAAAAGTTATGAGATTGCTTTAAAAGTTATGAGATTGCTATAAAAGTTATGAGATTGCTATAAAAGGTCGGCTTTAACATGTCGTAGTTCCTTGGTCTTTGGTTTTACCACACAACCTTTCATAATATTTTTTGTAGCCCTAGAAATGAACTTTTTAAAACTTTACAGCACTTCTTTTTAGGCAGTAATTGGCAAAATTCTTTTGAAAATTAATCAGTCCCTTCAATAACATCCAGAAATCAGTTGAAAAATAAAATTGAAAACAGATTATTGTTCATATTATTATTATTATTGTTCATATTATTAATATTATTCATTGCTTTAAAATAATCATCCCAGGGGGTGAAAGTTATGTGAATTGTCTGCTATTATTACACATGTTACACTTTTACTTTTATTAACTAACAAACAAACGAACAGGTTTCCTAAACCAAGAATCCGCGAAAATTTCGTCGATTTTTCGTTTTGATCTAAATTTAAGTGGTGGTTATATATAATCTACATTGCCATACTGGCTGACACTAATACAAGATGCACGCGCGTTCTTAGTCAATAATCAATTAGAAAATAAAGATATCTACTTATTATTATTACTTGCAGATAAAGGTTTTATGGGTTGACCCTCCCGTCCGTTTACAGTGATACTCTTTAAACATTGAGCTGAGTAACAAAGAGGAAATTACCGGCCTTAATTTTGAAAAAGTTCAATTATACAAATGGACTTTAATGTGTCCATAGCACTCATTCAATAAAAATTACGCCTGCAGTCACTTTAAGGCTAACCAAACTGACATTTTTTGTTTTTAGGAAAAGTTGCATTTGAGAAGTTGACAGATTTGGATTATAAGGGGGAAACTTATTATACAATTAGAAACTTATCTTTGTAAGTATATATGTATGTATATCTAATAATCTTTATTATTTTATTATTTATATATTTATTGCTTTCTTCATATCTTATATATCTTTATATTTATCTACAATCTATCTATCTATATATCTATCTATCTATCTATCTATCTAGGTATGAGTGCCAGGGATGGTGTAGGGAGGAGCCGGAATGTCAGGCTGCCAGCTTTAGTTTCGTGGTTAGTAAATCAATTATTTTTTCCCATTTTCCATTTCGGAGTTTAACGAAACGGGAAAAAGTTGGAAAAATGAAGGACTCAGAACTATTTTCAGACGTTTTACTTTGATCCACAACGTGCACGCTCTCACGCAACAAGCAAATTTCTGTTTTTAAACTATTGCAACACTTCAAAGTCTGTCCAGTCTCATTTTGCATGAATTTTTTTTTATGCTGCTAAATAAATCCCTGCCCCCCCCCTCGTCACTTTCTTTAATATCATTCCATCAGCCGGTGTCTGGTTTTATTGAGAGAAATTATGAAACAGTGTGAAAATATGTAGAAATAGTTTCGCACACAACTAAATGGTCTGTTCTCCACGGTAAACTAGAGGTATTGGTTGTTCTCCACGGTAAACTAGAGGTATTGGTTTAAGGTCCAGGGAGACTTAACTTTAGACCCCATTTGCACCCATCAATTATAGATTTTCCATATTCACCATGTTTTACTATTGTGTGGGGATAAAATTTAAATACTGTAGTACACTTCTGTATGCCGAGTCCATTAGCGCCTGATCCAATCAGGGTTCAGTCATGTGTTTGGTGTCTATTCTGAAACAATAGAAATTGCATGGCGATAACATCTATCTGTCTCATTATTCAATTAGAGATAAATCCTTGTATTGGCGCTATAACAGTAAATGGAAATATTTACTTCAACTAAAACTATGGTGCACTAAGAAATTAAACTTTTGGGATTAATAAGGACTGTGCCCGAAATTTAAAAGAGTATCGTTGAACGAAACTCTCTTAAGTTTCCTTTTTGGGGTCTGAACATTTTGTAGATTTTGATTTAAGAGATTCGACAAAAATGAAGAATATGAAGAAACTAAATAAAATGATATTTCATAACAAAAATATTGATATCCACAAAACCCGGTTTTAAAACTGTTTTTTTTAACGATACCCTGTCTTAAGTTTTGGGCTCTGCAAGACGTAGATTTATCTATCCAGAGCTGGGAACTTTTGAGTTGGAAATTCATAATCCCGTTCCACAGATCTTGATATTCACATTGGACACTTTTAATTTGGATCATTGCTTAATCTCTTCATTTTAGTTATCTCTTCAGGGTATGATTACACTGCAGGATATCGAATAAAGATTAAATTAATCTGCAGATTAACAAAAGATCGAGATAAAGCATTGATCTTGATATCCACAATACAAGAGTTCCCAGCTCAGACTAACTAACTAACTATTAATCTATCGATCTATTATCTATCTATCTATCTATCTATCTATCTATCTATCTATCTATCTATCTATCTATCTATCTATCTATCTATATCTATCTATCTATCTAGGCTAACCCCCTGACCCCCCGACAGGAGACTATTTGCCTGCTGCAAAACAGTACAGCAGCAAACAACCCTGGGGCTCAACCACTGAAGGTAAAACCGGTTTTTCAGTCTCAAAGGGAGTGTTTGCGAAAACGAAAGCGGTTTAGACAGAATCCGAATTAAGTTTGTATTCGGTCGATATAATTCAGTTTACTAAATTGTACCTATAGTGCCAAATAGGAGAATATGGTTGAAAACACTTTATTCTTGGAGCGAAGATGTTTCATTATACTCTTAAAGGGTCTGTTTACATATTTAAAAATAAACAACAACAATTTTAAACATTTTGGAAAAACTTAGGGGACGGGCAAGATAGGCTTAGTAGTGACTATGATTTTAAGAATTGTGATATTTTGTTTATTTTCAAATTTGAGAATAATCTCTTTGTTTTGGTGAACTTTCCCTTTTAAGCAGAATTTTTTTATATTTGTTCTAAAACTATTACTAAATTGTGGCCCCTAAAACTGTGGAATATAAGACGACTGTTAGAGTCAAGTTATAGTCAAAATATTACTAAATATTACTAAATAAGTTTTTAAAGATTTTCAAGCTATTGTTAAAACTTTATAATTTGTAACGACATCAAATATACATAAGATTGCTTAAATGTCGTCTTCCTAGTCTACATTTTATGGGTCCCCCTTTAGCAGGCATAAAAAGGCAAAAAAAACTAAATATTTTATTCGAAATTTATAGTAAAATATTTTCCTTTCAAGGCATGGAAGGATTCCCAGCACTATAATTTAAAAAAACACGTTATATTGATATATTTGTCTAAACAAGAAGTACATGACCCTTTTTTCGAAATTAAAAAAAATATTTTAATTTTTTCTAGGCTGTGTCCCAGTACTACATGGTGAAGATGTCCATCAGATCGGATCGTGTGTGCGCGCGCCCTTGGAACTTTGAGCGCGTTCCGAACATGATGATTCAGGGGAATGATAAGGTTTACATTTTAAACTCAATTTTAATCATCAAAAAAATAAATTTGTTTGAATGTTTAAAAACAACATTATAATATTAATAAAAATATATTTGTTTGTATGTTTAAAAACAACNAATTGCAGTTGCGTATACTCTGCGTACATATTAAAACCAGTTCTCTCTGGGCGGAATTTGTAAACAAGAATAGATGCATCAGTGTTCGTTTAGTATCCGAGGAGGTTAAAAGCATTTAATTTTGAGACTTTTGAGAATTTTGAGAATTTTGAGAATTCACATAATAGTTTTCTATGACCAGAATATTTCATAGATTTTTTTGTGAAAATGGATTCCCTGTCAGGCTGTGACATTCGTCTTGTGTTTACTTTTCCGCCCAAAGACAGTAAACTGCAGTACAAATAATGCGTACACCTCTGAAATAACTTTCCTTGCATTAGTGCCTTGGTTACGCATATCAACTATATCAACTGATGCGTAGGAAATTCTTTGAAATGCATCAGAGAATACTGAAAGCCTAATTTAATAAGAGTAATAATGATTAAAATATAGTTTTTAAAAATTTCTTTTTTTCAGCGAAACTTTGTGTGTCGCAGTGTCGAATATAATTATGTGACTCTACAATGTCGACTCTCAGATTTCGACAGACGAACCCCTGTCGACGATTTTAAACCAATTGAGTTAATTGATTCACCGGTAAGTAAATTTAAAATACTAGGCTTTTAGGGCGCGCCCATCTTCTACTTAAATTGTGAACATGTTCTTTTTGTTTACATTTAAAAATAAAGAAGAAAAAAATTATGCGGATTTTTAATAAAAAAATTCGCGGATTTTCAAGAATCTAAATTTTTTTACAAAATTAAAAAACTTTAAAACACATTTTTTTAATTTTTATCATTCATAAACCTTCCCTGTGGTCACGTTATGTCCCACAAAAAATTTGGGCCCAATCGGTTCAGCCGTTTTGACGTTTATTGGATACAAACAAACAGACAGACAGACAAGCCAAATTTATATATAGATTGGAACTATCTGTTTCCTCATTTTCATTATTCTCTGCATTTACAAACTTCGTTCTTAATTTGCCAAAAAAAAACTAAATACACCGTTTAGAGAAAACATTGAATGCAGAAGACTTCATTTAAACATCGTCATTTTTAAAGAGTTTCAAGTAACATCCTTTGTGGGTACCGGTATCCCTATACAGTGTTCATAGAACTAAAAACTAAAATTATCAATTTAGTTTTTTCAACACCTGAAAATCCGCGTTACTTCAAATGTAGTAAAAACTCTAGAATATTGTGCGTAATATAGAAATATCAAAAACATGTCAAAATGATGAACATTTTGTTCAATATTATGAACAGAATGTCGGAAACATTGAAAAATATTTTTTAATTATATTTTAAATTTAGCAAAAAAAAACTTTTCGTCATTTTAAACTTTTTTGAACAAAACTTCCTCTGACATACTTTTCTTCAAATACCCCTTGACGATTTATAAATTCGGATGACGATGTGTTGAATTAATATTCTAGCTTGGAAACCCAGATTTGCCTGGAGCGTTCGACTTAGAATTTTTAAACCAAGATAAGATTTAATTCCCCAAGATTTAGCGAGTTTCCTAATCAAAATTTGTGGCAAATCGGTCCAGGGTTCCAGAGTTATGATCGGACATCCTAACAAACAGACAAACAAATATAGATTACTGCTTGATATATGGATATTAATGACGATTTATAATACCAATTGACGACGACCTGTGTATTAAATATGATAAGATTGACGGATTTTAGATCTAATGACAATCTTTGGATCTATGGACGATCTCTAGTCTGGACGATCTATATATCATTTCAAATTTATTCAGTGTGTTGACGACGATCTTTATCAGTTTGGATTGACGATCTTTAGATCTATATTTGATTTTTGGGATCTAACTTTATTCCAATTATTTTCAGGGAATTGACTATTTTGAGAATCTCTGTTTGACCAATGAGAATAGCTGTGAGGATAACAGGGTTTACACAATCCCAAGGTATTTTTATATTTAAAGGGACTAACCCTCAACTTTCAAGAATTACATCGTTATTTACAATTTACAATTTACAATTTACAATTTACAATTTACAATTTATAATTTACAATTTACAATTTACAATTTACAATTTACAATTTACAATTTACAAAGGCACCCGTTCAACCTTTGCTTCAGAAAAAAATTACAATTGACTTTTTTTCTACAAAATTTAAAAAAAACTACAATTGCTTTCTCAATGTAATCAAACATGAAGCACTTTAAAAGAAGAATATTTAGAAAATTACGTCAACAGAATATTCTTGTGAATCTGTCTAACAATTCTTCAAAGCCAATGTATCATTTGACTTGAAACTCGTCTGCTTATTGTGTACAATGTAATTGAGTTAAGAAACAATGTTTTTTAAATGAATAAAAAAATGATTTAAAGAACAGTAAATTTAAAGTCTAAATGAATTGAGTCTTTGCCACAAACTCTTAATTTTCTAATCCCTGCATCTTTGCAACCCAATGTCGTAGACCTAAGTTATTTCAAATTGATAATTTTGGTAGATGAAATAGTCTAAGTTTGAAATATCAAAGGTTTACACCATTTAGTTTCATAGATATAGAGATTGGAATGCTAAAGTTTGTGGCAAAGACTCAATTCCTTTAAAGAAATTTAGATTCCAATATTGAATCATTAGGAATAATTTCCAATCCTTGTATTTTTGGAAATTTTGGAAATTTTGGGAATTTAGAGCCATAACTAACTATAATACACACAATTTAAAAAATTTAAAGTTTACCACATTCGAATCTTCCAGGCGAATGATCTGTTTATAAAGAAAGTTTTCATCAATAAAGCAAACAGATAAATAAAATATGATTTTAAAAAAGATAAATTGTATTTTCCCAGGGTTGGAGTTCCGAGTAACAAAATTGCGCTCTTCGTTAACGTTCATTTCTACGTAGATAAAGAACTCATGGTGAGATATTATGTATTCTTCACAATATGATAGAAATATCTATCTACACATTAATATGTTAGAAATATCTGACTGCAATACAATATGTAAGAAATATTTTATTTCACATCAGTATGTTAGAAATATCTATAAGTTCACATAAACGTTAGAAATATATAATCTCAATTTGTTACATATTTCTAATTTCACATCAATACGTTAGAAATATAATTTCAATTTGTAACATATTTCTAATTTCACATCAATACGTTAGAAATATAATTTCAATTTGTTACATATTTCTAATTTCACATCAATACGTTAGAAATATAATTTCAATTTGTAACATATTTCTAATTTCACATCAATACGTTAGAAATATCTAATTTAACATCAATATTCAATACTACATCAATAGATTATCTAATTTTACATAGATATTGAAAATATTGAATTTCACATTCATTTTTATTTGGTAAAACTTTACCATTATTTTGTTTACAATACTAATATAATTGTCTCTTGAGAAAAAGAAAAATAATATTCAATTAAAAAAAATACCAAGCGGGATTTAAATTTGTATTACAGTGAATATTGGAATAGGAAGACGACATTAAAGCATTAATTATGTGTATTTGATAATGTTACAAGGCAAACAGTTTTACTGAACTGGTCTGTTTACACTTGCAACTTTCTTCGGTATGAGTCGTTTTTTTAACAATTTTCTCCGCCTATACCCCCTTTCATTTTTGGCGAACACTCCCTTTAAGTGAAATTGGTCTGTTAACACTGCACTGCACAATCGTATTCCATAATGTTATGATTACTAGTAAACAAAATTTTCTCCTTTAAAATGTGTTTCCCTTCGTTCAGGCAAACAGTGCCCCAGCTTGCCAGCGAGCTTGTGAGATAGAAACTGAGTTTCTCTGTCGGTCATATCTGTACCTGGGACCTCCTACAGGTACATTTCAACTTTTTTTGGGTAAAATTTAACATTTTTTGACATCCTCGCTTCATTTATTCATTTATTTATCTTTCTCATCATCCCACTTCATTTCTTTTCATCTAATCATTCATTCTTTCTTCCACTTCATTTCTATTCATCTATTTATTCATTCATTATTCTTATCCATCCTTCCACTTCATTTCAATTCAACTATTAATTCATTCATCCTTCTTATCCATCCACTTTATTTATATTCATCCTTTCATTCATTTATCATTCTCATCCTTCCACTTATTTTATATTCATCTATTCATTCATCCTTCTCATTCACTTCATTTCGATTTATCTATTCATTCATTCATTATTCTTATCCGTCCACTTTATTTCTATTCATCTATTCATTCATTCATTCATCATTCTCATCCTTCCACTTCTTTTATATTCATCTATTCATTGATCCTTCTCGTTCACTTCATTTCTATTTATTTTAAACATTCATCAATCCTTCTTACCCTTCCACTTCATTCATTAATCCCATTCATCTCTTTCATTCATTTCTCCATTCTACTCATTTCTCTCATTCATGAATTTAATATCTCTAGGTCCAGAGTACAACTGCCGTCTATATCACATGGACCACTGGAGTCTACCTGACGGACCATCAGCCTTTCTTGTCAATGATCGCCCTCTTATAGATAACGGAGGCCGAATTGGAACCTTTTACGAGAATCGGTGTCAAAGTAAGTTTCCGCGCGTTTTTCCTTCTTCTCTTTGCGCATTTCTTTTCGCTCTCTCCTTTATATACAAGTTAATTATTTTCTCCTTTAAATTAAACTTTCTTTTTGTTGTTGTTTGCTCCTTATTAAGTTGTTATTTGTCTGCTAACAAAGATAGAATGATTAAAGTGTACATAAAATATTTAAACATTCACAATATACACAATCAAAATAGGGATTAAGTTGCTACATGGTTCCTAAAAAAGGACATTTTGAGAAATTTTGAATAATTTTTAGAGAACTCTCAGAAGCGTCCAAAATCTCTTGATGATGAGGAGGATGATACCATGTTATGTAAACGTGTTGTTACAAAGGTTCAACAAATATTTCAGTCGTTTTTTGATAATTTAAAGGAAAATTTAAAGTTTTAATTTCTCATATTTCAAATTTACAAGTAAACCAAGAGAAGCTGTTCATTGACAGTCTCTATTTGTTTCCATGTTTATGTGCATCAAATGCTGTTTGAAAATATACGACCGACGACCGTACTACAGCTGGTCCGCTTTTACAGAAGTGTTTAGCTTATAGAAACAATCCTAAAGCCGTCAATATTTTTTAGTATACGTTGCCTATTGTTTGATTTGTAACGACATCAAATACACGTGATATCGTTAAAATGTCGTCTTCCTAAGACACAATTTTATGGGCCCCAATGGTAAATAATTTCTGACGGATTTTGAATAATTTATTGTGCTTAAATCATCAGTAAGAATTAGACCCGGTTTAAAGGGACTGTACGCTGAATTTCAAGTGGCCAGTATACACTATACAGTGAACATGAAAAAATGACAAAGATATTTTTGTTTTTCTATAATAAATTCAAGAATTTACATAAAAGGTCACATGAAATTGCACTTACAGTCCCTGTAAATCAGTGTCAATTACGCTAACAGCCCCTGTAAAACAGTGTCAGTTATGCTTACAGTCCCTGTAAAACAGTGTCAATTACGCTTACAGTCCCTGTAAAACACTGTCAATTACTCTAACAGTCCCTGTAAATCAGTGTCAATTACGCTAACAGTCCCTGTAAAACAGTGTCAATTACGCTAACAGTCCCTGTAAAACAATGTCAATTACGCTTACAGTCCCTGTAAAACACTGTCAATTACGCTAACTGTCCCTGTAAAATAGTGTCAATTACGCTAACAGTCCCTGTAAAACAGTCCCTGTAACCTGTGTCAATTACTCTAACAGTCCCTGTAAACCTGTGTCTGTTACTCTAACAGTCCCTGTAAACCTGTGTCAATTACTCTAACAGTCCCTGTAAAACAGTGTCAATTACGCTAAAAGTCCCTGTAAAACACTGTCAATTACTCTAACAGTCCCTGTAAACCTGTGTCAATTACTCTAACAGTCCCTGTAAAACAGTGTCAATTACGCTAACAGTCCCTGTAAAATAGTGTAAATTACGCTAACAGTCCCTGTAAAACACTGTGTCAATTACTCTAACAGTCCCTGTAAAACAGTGTCAATTACGCTAACAGTCCCTGTAAAATAGTGTAAATTACGCTAACAGTCCCTGTAAAACAATGTCAATTACGCTAAAAGTCCCTGTAAAATAGTGTCAATTACGCTAACAGTCCCTGTTAAACAGTGTCAATTACTCTAACAGTCCCTGTTAAACCGTGTCAATTACTCTAACAGTCCCTGTTAAACAGTGTCAATTACGCTAACAGTCCCTGTAAACCTGCTGTCAATTACTCTAACAGTCCCTGTAAAACAGTGTCAATTACGCTAACAGTCCCTGTAAAATAGTGTAAATTACGCTAACAGTCCCTGTAAAACAATGTCAATTACGCTAAAAGTCCCTGTAAAATAGTGTCAATTACGCTAACAGTCCCTGTTAAACAGTGTCAATTACGCTAACAGTCCCTGTTAAACAGTGTCAATTACTCTAACAGTCCCTGTAAAATAGTGTAAATTACGCTAACAGTCCCTGTAAAATAGTGTAAATTACGCTAACAGTCCCTGTAAAACAGTGTCAATTACGCTAACAGTCCATGTAAAACAGTGTCAATTACTCTAACAGTCCCTGTAAAACAGTGTCAATTACGCTAACAGTCCCTGTAAAACAGTGTCAATTACGCTAACAGTCCCTGTGAAACAGTGTCAATAACTAACATTTGGAAGTAATTTTTGCGCAAAAGAACAAATTTATATCATTTTAAAAAATGGCTGAAATATTTGAATACCAAGGACCGGCGGTTTATTACGCAAATCACGTGTTATGAGAAGGGGAAGGAGGGGAAACAGCGCAAAGGGATGAATATGCCCTTATTTGGAAAGCAGGGCGGGGGCGTGCTGTCCTCTCTTTTTTCTAAAATAGGCCGTCAAGGTACGAAATAAAATCGTCTTACGCATCCTTTATTCTTCCGTATCTTATGATGGTTAAGGTTTAAATAATTTCTTTTAAAAACTAAACTTGTGGGTGTTAATGATTATATTTTATGTACGCTGTACTACAGCTGAACTAAGGTATGTACATATTACATGTACTGAACCGTACTTGTACTCACAGCGCAGAAAAATCGATTCGCAAGAATATGTTATTTTGTGTATAACAGTATATGAACAAATGTTGAAAATGCAAAAGTACACTGTACATTGTACAGTGTACGTGAGTTATAGATACCTTGGTGTAGTGTAAGGTGTACAACTAAACAAATACAGTGTACATTCTATAACTTCAATGGTACAGCGTACACTGTAAAGTGTACATGTTTAGCGTAGAACTAAACAAGAACAAGTGCATTGTAATCTTAAGCAATTGACCGACTAAAAAAGTACAGCGTACTAAGTACAAGCTGTCAGTACAACATGTACATAAATCTTACTTTGTGCAACTCAAATAGTACTGCGTACACTGTACAACAGTACAACGTACAGTACAACCATAAATATTACAGTGTTCAGTGTACAACAGTACAGAGTACACAGTACAATAGTACAGCGTACACTGTACGACAGTACAGCGTACATAAAAATTGGATGCTTCTGGTGAGGGCTTCTTTAAATAGTTCAAAATATTTCAAAAACCCCGTCAACATATTTGCAAATATATTTGCAAATATATTTGCAAATCAAATTAAACAAAACAATGATATCTAAATTGCATGATTCCTTAATCTATAAATAGCATGGAAAAAATAGCAGCATTTGTGAAATTATCTAAATGTCTATTTTAACATTTATAAATTTGTATAATTTGCTTTCTTCTTCAAAGCAAAATGTTTTCAATGACTTTGATTTCATTGTTTGACAAAAATGACTAAAAAAAGTACAGCGAACTAAGTACAAGCTGACAGTACAACATGTATTTTAACATAAATCTTACTTTGTGCAACTCAAATAGTACAGCGTACAGTAAAATCTAAAATAGTACTGCGTGCACTGTACAACAGTACAGCGTACAGTACAACCTTAAAAAGTACAGCGTACATAATACAGCAGTACAGTGCACATTATAACCATAAATAGTAGAGTGTACACTGTACAGCAGTACAGAATACACAGTACAATAGTACAGCGTAAAATGTAGGACAGTACAGCGTACATAAAAATTGGATGCTTCTGGTGAGGGCTTCTTTAAATAGTTCAAAATATTTCAAAAACCCCGTCAACATATTTGCAAATATATTTGCAAAACATATTAAACAAAACAATGATATCTAAATTGCATGATTCCTTAATCTATAAATAGCATGGAAAAAATAGCAGCATTTGTGAAATTATCTAAATGTCTATTTTAACATTTATAAATTTGTATAATTTGCTTTCTTCTTCAAAACAAAATGTTTATTTTAATGACTTTGATTTCATTGTTTGACAAAAATGTCTTTATATTTAAATTTAAAAAGTCTTCAACATTTCTGTACACTCCGTGCAGTGTAAAGTACGTTGTAACGTAATAAAATGTTAGAAGTGAAATAACTAAGTTATTTTAACAAAGAACAAGTTAAATGTCATTATTAGATGAATATAATGTTACCAACGCCTAGAAGAAATATAAAAAGAATTGCCGTAAAATTCAACTTGACTTTGAACTTTTAAAATATGCTTACAAATTTCCGTACACTTTTTAGCGTACAGTAGAGTACAATAAAAGTCCATTTTACGATAAAATGTTAAAAACAAAACAACTAAATTGTGGGCGTGCTTTAGAATTTCAATATAGGAAATTTAAATGTTGTTTTTTGAGATAAAAATCAAAATGTTATCTTGACTTTAAATTTTTAAGATAATCTGATTTAGGCAAAAATATGCTTTTTTTGTTAAAGTGTAAGAAGTTTTATTTGAAAAGGGATTCGTTACGAATTTTAAATACATCCCTTAAAATCTTAGCAGCTATTGACCTTGTCAAAAAAGGAAGTATTTTCCTGTAAACAGTTTTTTTATTTAAACGTACTGGATATTTTTTTTGGTTAAATCATATTAGGACAATCGTCCAATAAAAACCAGATTAGAAATAATAAATAAAAAGTAAAAATAGATTTAGAAACGAAGTTAAAAAATAAATTAATGAATAAAGAAAGGATGAATGAATAAATGAATGGATGAACACTAAATGAATGAATGAATAAATGCAAACCTAAAAAACTAAACTGGAAAATATCGGCTTTGAATTTTAAGCCGATATTTTCATTGCTCCCACAAACAACTTCCTCATCCAAATTTTTTAAATCGTAAAAAAATGCAAATTCTGGAAAAGTCCAATCGTTCAAATCACCCAGGCCGGGATAGGAGGTTGTTTGTTTAAACATGTTAAATAGCTTGAATCTAAATTCAGGATCACTTCCGGCGGAGGATGGTTTGGACGGCGGAGCTAATGGAGAAAACCAGGGTGGAGCCTCTGCTGGCGGTAGCCAAGGGGATGGGAATGGCGGAGCGGGAAATAATGGAGGAATAAATGAAGAAAATGCCAATGGTGGAAATAGTCAAAATGATATATTTGGAGGAGATAGCGCGTTGGGCGGAGGGTTGGGAGAACTTGGCGGATTGGGAGGAATTGGCGGAGAGTTAGGAGGTATTGGTGGAGGCCTAGGGGGAATCGGCAGTGGTTTGGGTGGAATTGGCGGTGGTTTGGGTGGAATTGGTGGGGGTTTGGGTGGAATCGGCGGGGGTTTGGGTGGGATTGGCGGAGATTCGGCATCAAACGGCGATAATCTAGGTTTTGAAGGCGGAAACAATGAAAATGGACTCGGCAATGGCGATCTAGGGTCCGGCGGTAATGGAGGTCTTGGGGGAGGCAATATCGGCGGAGATAATGGAGGCGCTGGAGGAGATCTAAACGGCGGAGGCAATAATGCTTTAGGTAACATTACTTTCTTCTTTTCTGTTTCACAATTAAC